TTTGACTATGGAGCAATTATGGAGGTCACATCTTTATTTCAAAGAGACTGGGATGTCAGTATACGAGAAATCAGCAGGAGCGCAAACAATAATACTAACTAATAAGTAAGATGGAACTCAATATGATGTCAGGGATCACGTTTATGCTTCACGCACCACATGAACTGCTTGCTTTGTTGTCTAAAGATGGTGTGAATGGAATTGAGGATATGGGCCAAGATGCCTCGGTTCCATGTTTTTATTTTAAAAAAAAGAACAAAGAAACATAAAGATAACTATTAGGGCTGAAAAGGCCAAATAAAGGAGCCCAATATATAACGAATTGGGCTTACAGGCCCACAATTAATGAATTCTCTACATTCCCCTACATTTGGTGTCCAAAGCTTGAAACTCGCGAAAGTTATCTCTAAATCCGAATCATAGCTTGTTAAAATGAAAAATCTGGAAAAGTTGAGGCCTTTCCGGAAAATCTCCTCACATTGATTTAAATACCGGATGTATCCGCCTCCATGGGCATCGTGGTACTTTCATTGATCGAGCAGCAATCCCAAGCAGCCAAGCACTTTCCACTGCTCTTTCTTCCTTTTGTTATCCTTTCTCACGTTCGAAGATTAGAAAATGGCGTTGATTCCAAGTTTCTTAGGTCGGCGAGGGAGCAACGTATTCGATCCTTTCTCGTTCGACGTATGGGATCCCTTTAAGGATTTCCCTTTCCCCCCTGCTCTTTCCACTTCTTTCCAGGAAAACTCTGCATTTGTGAGCACTCGAATTGATTGGAAAGAGACGCCAGAAGCCCATGTGTTCAAGGCGGATCTTCCTGGGTTGAAAAAGGAGGAGGTGAAGGTCGTGATTGAAGATGAAAGGGTGCTTCAGATAAGCGGAGAGAGGAACGTCGAGAAGGAAGACAAGAACGATAAGTGGCATCGCGTTGAGCGAAGCAGCGGAAAATTCATGAGGAGGTTCAGACTGCCGGAGAATGCTAAAATGGATCAGGTTAAGGCTTCCATGGAGAATGGAGTTCTCACTGTCACTGTTCCTAAGGCAGAGGTTAAGAAGCCTGATGTCAAAGCCATAGACATTTCTGGTTAAGAATGACATTCTGGGTTTCCTGGCTTTGTATTGAAGAATATCTATGTCGTCGTGAGGGAGTCTTGAATTTTATATGTTTGTACAATCGTGTGTTCTGCTTTCTGGTGTGAATGTGGAGGAGAGCGTTGTGTCGTGTAAGTTTTAACACGTGTGTTTTTCTATAAATTTACATGGTCTGCCTTGTTTGTTTTTGGACCAACATGGTCTGTCTTGTTTGAAATAAGCTGAGTTGGTTTTTCGTTGTTTAATTATTTTTATTTCTTTCCGTAAGCAATTTATTCAAATTCTACTCTTTAAATGAAAATTGCTTATAATTATTCAGTATCATATTAGTTAAGATAATTTGGAGGCGGAATAGAAATGGGTTAGTGGAGATTTGGGGCTCAGTGAATTTTAAGTCATCCTCGTCTTCTAGATGTATTTCACCTATGGATCCTTGACGTTTGTTCTTCGCAATTTTCCACCATGCGTTAGCAAAAGCTTCACGCCATTTCAGAATTTGGACTGAATCTTTGATTCAGATGCTTCCATTTCTAGTTGCGTGCTTCAACGGGTGGAGCTCAGTGGCTTCTCTCATAATAGAACAGAGCTGAGACATCCAATGAAGGATTTGCAAAATTTTTCAGTACGTCGGAAAATTTGCCAGCTCTAACTTCCAAGTTCCAATGAGGGTGAATTTAAAATTCAAGCTGGCAGGAAAAAAAAATCGGAAACTAAAAAGGCTGAATTAGACTTTAGAGTAGCCATAAATATGAAAGTCTTCAACCATCACGAGCTTTCTTCCACATACGAAATTGGATAACTGCACATACTCTTATTTGTCCCCAGCCCAAAGCTAAAGCTTTGAACAAAACATAGGAGAAAATAAGAGAACACAATGAAGAAGAAATGGAACGCTGTGAAGAAGCAGCAACCACCATATGGCAATGTGTCATACCCTTCTAGACGGTCAAATTGGTCAAACGTAAACGAGAAAGTGTTTTTTTATTTTTTCCTTTATCAAAAAGAAGGGGGGAAAAAAATCAAAGACTACCTATTTCGGATAGTGTCTCGTCTCTCGAAAAATTCAATCAAAGTAGGAAAAATTACGTACAGATTTCATATAAAACATTTTTTTTATAAATAAATTTCATAAAATTTAAAAACTATAATTAAGTATTTTAAATCTTTGGTATAATTATGGTTGGGGTGCAAAAATAATACTCTCTTCATTTAAAAATATAAAACATCTTTTAAAGAGTTGGGCATTTAAAAATGTAAGGCATTTTTAATATTTTAAAATATAATCATTGTCTTTTTTTTAAGTGTTTCTATTGATAAATAATTTTATATTTATTATAGAGTGTTTAATAGAAGTAAATATAAAAAAATAGAGTTAGTTTAAAAGTAGATAATTAATTTATTAAAAGTAAAATTTAATTAAAAATATATTATATTTTTTAAAGAGAGAGTCTGTTAAGCCAGGCATTACGCATTACGGAGATAAATATTCCATACCTTGGTTTAGAGCCGTAACTAAGGAAAAAAGAAACATATATTTTTTAAAAATAGACTGTTTTGGGCTGCAGACAATAGACCATCTAGGTGAATCCTATGGCTTGGTGGTGAAGGTGTTTTCCTTTCACAAGTCAAGCGACGAGTTCGAACCCAGGCACTTTCAATCCCATATACACGAAACAATAGACATATATCTTATAATCTATTTATTATAATTACATTAATTAATTACAAAGCTCATACAAAATTCAATTATGTGAAGGTATAAAAATTCTTGTACATATTAAAGAATTAAATGGCATATTTGCTCTAAAACTTTTTTTCCAAAAATATATAATATTCTAAATTTTTTAGAGCATTTTTACTACAAAAGTTTCAAAAAGGGAGTATTTTTATCCCACTGTTAGATATTAAAAATGTTAATCATTAAATTAAAATTTAATCAAGAGTTAAATGATGTATTTGTCTTACTTTTTTTTCAAGAGTGTTAGGTATTTTTAACTTTTGTTTCAAGCATATTTTTCTTAGAAGTCTTAAAAAGAGAACAATTTTATCTTGTCGTCAGTATTAACCGTTACTTTAATTTTAGTTGTCATGTTGCATTTTTTAGGGAAAAAAATCCACCTAAATAGCAAGAATAACTCCATGAACATCAAACAAAAACAACATCAAGCAAAAATCAAAAACATCAATAACAATTCAAGCAAGGAATAAGAAAATCATCCACAAGTCTTTTTTTTTTTTTGCCTTTTTCATTGCAATTTTATTTTAGTCACATGCGAAGTGTCAATCTCCTTTTTGAAAATTGTTGGGAAAAAATGGAACTCAATTCCAAATCATCCAAATCCATTCTTATACCTATAAATAATCAACTATACATTAAGTCAATTCATATGAACTCTTGTGTGGAAGCTCTCTTCTTCTATATTTGACAATTTTACTATCTTACTCAATTACGATGACTCTACAAACTTCGACCTTGACTCAGACACTTTTGAGGGCTCACGACATTAAACTTGACCATAGCGGTGATGACAAAAGCAACAAATAATGTTACATGGGGAGCACGCGGCAAGTATGGGGAGGACGACGATAATCTAGGGGAAGTTAAAAATGAAGGATTTGCCTTTGATGAACAAAGCAATAATGTCGTGGGCTTGAGTAGACTTTTCTGTAGGGCAAAAGTGCCAAGCCAAATGCAAGACTTTTTGTGAGGCTCGCAAATCTCAAACACCCATTTTTTCCAACTTCTCATTTGAACTCTAATCTATGATAATGTGAGAGCTTGCTGTGGAAGAGGAAAAGAAAGAAGAAGAGGGTGATGAAAAAGGGAGAGCAAAATTACTTCATTTTTAAAAATTATAATGCAAATAAGCTCCAAATAAAAGTTTAAAATATCCAACATCTTTGAAAAACAAAATCCAAAGACACATATGCTATTTAACTTTCAATCAAACTTCAATTTAATGGTCAACTTTTTAGTATTTAATAGAAAGGCAAAAATATTCTTTTTTTGAAACTTCTTGAATAAAAATACTCTAAAAAAGTTTAGAGCGTCAAGTATTCCTAAAAAAAATTTTCAAAACAAATATGTCATTAACGCTATATTAAATTTACATTACATTGGTCGTGTTTTATTCATGGAATTTAATGATCAATGAGAACATGAAAAACTATACAATAATATTTAAAATAATATGAATACACTTGGAGAAAAATGCAATTTCAAAACAAATTTCCGTAGCAATGTGTGCTTTGGTTTTTTTTTTTTTGGGAAATGAAGGAAAATATTATTAAAAATAAAACGATTACAAACAAACCATGGCGTCCCAATGGCCCTTGAGAAAATACAACACCACACAGACATGATGAAATAAAAAACTACAGTGACAAACCAACAAGCAAACAAAGAAAACGAGCAAAAATACAGACTCAAAGTTAATCCAAACTTGAACATGCAGACTCTTAAAAAAAAAAAAAAAAACTCGCATGTGAAAGCTGCAGAACCAGTAGCAAAACCAGTATAATGATGTCTGTTTGAAGTGCGGCGAGCGGTAAACTGAACTGATAATACTCAATCAATTTCAGTGTCTTCTCCCATAGGATTTTGAATTAATGTGTGCATTTAGTTAACAAAAGAAAATAGCGAGACAAAAAAAGAAGAAGAAAAAATGGAAAGAATATAGAAGTAAAAAAAAAGTGATTTTCTCTCCCTATATTTAGATAACAAAATTACTTTGTCTACTTTTAAATTTTATTTATAAAATTATTAATTGTATAATAATCTAAAAATTTTAAAGGACCAGAATAAAGGAAGGTAGTAGGAGTAAATGAAAAATATTCATGCTGAATTTAAAAATAGAGTATTCTTTTCAAAATTTCTCTATATTTAAAAAAAGTTGAAAAAAAAAAATGTAAACCCCACATATTATTTTCTCATCAATTTCCTCCTCCTTCCACTTTTCTTTCCATATCCAGGTGGAGTAAAATTAATGTAATTTTACCCCCACTCATCTCATCATCTCCCAAACTTTTACCTCCACTCATCGCGCCAAGCATAGTTTTATGATTTCTCAGCAATGCAATTCGTGCTGCTTCCACAATACAGGCTCGAGTTACAAACCCAGAATGAACCAAGTTAAATAAGAAAAAAAATCCAAAAAATGATTTAATAAGAAAACGTGCTTATATTTTATTCCGAAGCCACACTAATCAAGACCAAGTATGAAATCTACAGGAAAGGATCATAGACGATGCTCTCTTTCCTATCCATCCCAAGGTAATGACGACCAAAAAAAAAAAAAAAACAGAACACACCATTGTACAAAAGACACTCTTTCAGTTCTGACTTCACACAGACACATTTGAGACTACAAGCCCAGAGAGAAAGCAGGGAATGACACTCTTCTTAACCAGAAATTTCGATGGCTTTAACCTCAGGTTTCTTAACCGCTTCCTTTGGAACAGTTACAGTCAGAACACCATTCTCCATGGAAGCTTTTACCTGATCCATTTTTGCATTCTCAGGCAATCTGAATCTCCTCATGAATTTGCCACTGCTGCGCTCAATGCGATGCCACTTGTCGTTCTTGTCTTCCTTCTCGACGTTCCTCTCTCCGCTTATCTGAAGCACCCTGTCGTCTTCAATCTGGACCTTCACCTCCTCCTTCTTCAACCCTGGAAGATCAGCCTTGAAAACATGAGCCTCCGGGGTCTCCTTCCAATCCACCCGAGTGCTGATAAACGCAGAATTTTCTAGAGAGGGTGAGAGAGAAGAGGGGAAAGGAAAATCCTTGAAGGGATCCCAGACGTCGAGAGAGAAAGGATCGAAAACACTGCTGCTTCGGCCACCGAAGAAATTCGGAATCAACGACATTCTCTAATCTTGGATTAGATAAGAAAGATTGGAAAGAGAATTATACGATCTGCTGCAATACGGTTCGATTTCGCTCGCTCGCTCGCTTCCTTCAACGGTGAGAAGAAAAGGGGACATATGGGGTATTTAAAGGAGGAGGGGGAGAAATCTAGTAGTTTGGAAGTCAGTTACAGATTGTTCCGGAGAAACCAGAAGCCACGTAGGACGTTCCTCATCTAAAAAATCAGCACATGCGATGAGATATGAATTATCCTAATTCCTAAAATGATCTAAATTTAAAATTTTATTGTATCTTATATTTATTAAAATTTTTTATTTTTAATATAATTTAAATTTAATTTAATATTAAAATTTTTATAATTAATATATATTGACCAATTCTCTGAACCCCAACCATTGGTGGAACCGTGGAAGTATCCAGATGATTACGTGGCGTCCTTACCAATTAACAATTATTTTTATCTCGAGCAGGCACACACTGATGAGGTTTTTTTTTTCAGATTTTTTTTTTAAATAAGAGCTGCTTTCTTATGCCTATCAGCCTATATCCTCATCCCATTACAAATATAAATAACTTTTGCAATTATATTATTATTTCTTTACGTGAATTGACATTAAAAATTAAATAATGCCTAAAAATTTTATTCATATCTCACTCTTAAATACATATTTACATTTATATTTTTAACTATTTAAATTTTGTTACTATTGTATTTAACTTTACTCTTACTATTATTTGAATTTTTATATTATTTTTTATTTGAGATCATCCATATAAAACTAAAGTTATATTAATTTATTTAACAATAATTTCGGTATTGATTATTATTAATTCTAAAATTTTTGATGATGGAAAGATTGTATGGATGAATATTTAAAATGTTGTTGTGTTTTATTATTATTACAATTATTATTGTGTATTATATAGGATATTAAGTCTCAAATATAATAAATGTATTAAAAATTAATGTCTTTTATTTAAATTATTTTATTTTGTTATCATTGATCTAATTTTAATTTGACCTTCGATTTGACCTTAATTGAATCATTAACTCCTGACTTTTAATTTTAACCTGTTCAATGATAGGTGGGTTTTTAATACCTTAATTTTTTGTCCTCGAGCCAAATAAATGGTCTCTGCTTCTCTAAATTGAAACACCTCTTTTTATTTTGGGCTGGACTATCGAAGAAAACAAGTAATTTTTAAAAATAATTTATATTCTTAAATAGATAATTATTTTATATTATTTTTATAATAAAAATAAAATTCATAACAAATTATACTATTTCATGGAATTTATTTCTTGCACTATATACATTCCATGTAATGTGTGAAGAGTGTTTTAATTTACGATTAAAACAGATTGCATGGAAGAATTAGTACTGTTCATAAACAATGAAATGCTGAAAATCTCATCTACAATAATTAGTTTTCCTTTGGTTAGTGAAAAAAATGAGAATGAAATGGATTAAAAAATAATTAAAATAAAAATTAATTAAATTACCTTTTTCTTTATAGTAAACATGATAACATTTAATAATATATACTATAAATATGAAACTTATTATACTCTTCAAAAATCACATAAATTATGATTCTTAACCTTCTAAATTAAATTACTCTTCTCACTTATAATTTTGATTCATCGACACTTCTCTTGGAGCAGGTAATTTGATAGGCCAATTATATTCTTGTTGGACTTAATTTGGACATGAATAAGCCCGAACTTATAAAAAATATCGAATAATCAAGCTTGGTCTGAACCTCTTCTTGGGACTTATTTGGACCAACTTGAATATCTAAATTATTAATGTGTTTTTTATTTTTTAAAATTAAAATTAATTTTAATTTAATTTTTACTTTAAAATTAATTATCTTATTTTATAAAAAATATATAACATATTTTTTGTATACTTATACAGTGTAGAAGACTCAAATTTTTTTAAAGAAAATATGTGGATCTTAAAATTTAAAAATTAATATTAAAATACATTTTAAATACTATTTTGTGATATTTTATAGATTGAAAAAATATGACAATATAAATATGTTTTATTTTTTAAAAATATCTATAATAATACACTTAAATATATGATATTTTAATATAAAATCACCTAAAAATTAAAAAATTAATTTAAATTTAATATTAAATATATTTGAAATGTAATTTTTTTATTCAAGTATTCGAGCCTATTCCAAACTCTGATCAAGTTTGGCTCGAATTTTTCAACCCTAGTCGGGCTAGCCCACATAGGCATGAATGTTTAAAAAATATTATTTTACTAAGCCTAATCTTTTTTTAAGTTTATTCACGCTAATCTCAAATTACTGGCATTACACCCTCATATTTTAATCATCTGTACTTTATTTTTTAATTTTATTTCATTATATTTCTTTTTACTCCCCCAATCTTAAATTATAAAATACTTTTAAAAAAAATTCAGCATCCCAAAATATAAAATACTTTAATAAAAATAAGATTTTATTAATAATATTTTTTCAACACTATCATTCCTAAATATTCTTTCTTCAATATTCTTTCATCAATGAAGTATTAAATGAAGGACATTTTTTAAAATTTATATTTTTATTTTAAAAAAGTAAAGTTATAACGTATATTTAATAAATTTATTAATGTATGAAATTTTATTTAAAAATATTTTATAATTTAAAATAAAGAGAGTAGTAAGCAAAGGATCTTCAACTTTTCTCTTTGGCAGTGCTCGTTCTTTTCCTGGACCAACAATTTCGCAATTTAGATTTGAATTGCCTTCTTTAAAAATGCCGCTCTCCTCATATTCTCTCTCTCCCCGCCAAAATCTCTTTCCAAGTTCCAACCAATGTTTATTCAAACGAATGTTGTGCAATTCAATTAGTTTCATTCCCATACACCAAACGTAGGAGTAACAACATAGCATTTCAATTAAAAGAAGCAACATCCAACAGAGAAGACTTTTAGAATTGGACTAGGATTAAAAAAAATTTGAATTCACATGCTATTCAACTTTTTAAATCCCTTGCCATCTGTCGTATTTATAATAATCCTACATAGGATACAAAGTCAATATCACCATTTTTAGGCTGCCTGATCTTTGTGAGAGAACTCCTTCGCGCTGCCCTGATTTTGCGGCTTGCCATGCGCTACATTATCTTGAAAAGAATTTGAATCCCCTTTTGAATGAATAATATTTACAATTATGACACTAGCTGACACCAATATCACCATATCCATCAGACCATCGCCGTTAACTCGACATTCAGGAAAACGTTGCCCCTTTTTCTGAAGCATCATCGTTTCTCTAGTCCCTCATTAACGGCAGAAATTCCTCCGACATTATTGTCAGCAACGAAAACTTGACCTTCAGTGAGATTCTGCTATCCTCCACACACAGCTTTGCTCCGGTGACCACCCAATGCCCTGGCACATCCTCCGGGCCCCTCACCATCTCTCTTGTGTCCACAAAGCTCAGCATCTTCTGAGCCCTCGTCGGCACCGGCGGTCCCTCCTCGTACACGGCCGAGTTTATATTCACCTTTGTTGACTTCTCCGGCGTGTTCTGCAACAACTCCTTGCTCAACCTCGTGCTCATTAACGCCGAGAAAAAGCCCGATTTTCGAGACTCTGTTGAGGTTCCATTCCACTCTGACCGGCGAATTCTGGCCGATGCAACAGAGGAGAACCCAAGTCTCAGGAAGAGAACCTTCTTCATCCCCACAAGCTTGACCTCGAACCATGCCTTAGTGACAATACCAATGGACTCGTCTAGCTGGGACGTGTCGTACTGTACTGGTGCTGTACATACGTGAGAGAACATATTCCATTTCACGGGTTCGTAGTAGCCTTTGTCAACCGCTTCATCCCGAGTAGGACTGTAGCTATGGTCGTACGACATGTCGAGGATGCTAGGAATGTCTGAAAGATGCTGAAGATGGATAGCTAGGTGGTCATTTTTTCTACCTTCTAAGTACAAGCGAATACCAGTTACAGGCCTATTTCCCGTGTCAACCTGCAAAATTGTAAGCAATTCATGAAATGGAACATGAAATCACAAGTTTCAGGAATTTAGCACCCGTTTATCTGGCCATTCAAGATCACAAGTTTGGTATGCTAATAATAAGACCCTTGGATCTCATTTATAATTCACATTTTAAAAGATTCATTTAATTTTATTTATAAATTATAGTGTGATTTTTTAAATAATATTTAAAAATATTTTTAAAATTATATTTTATAAAAAAATAATATAATATCACTTTTTAAATTTATATATAGAGATGTAATTTTACACTTTTATTTTTTTTACTTTTTTAAATTTTAATATTGATGAAATCAGTAAAAATAACTTATAAAAGAAACCGGATGATCACCTTGGAAGTATTCACAAAAAGCTTGGGTCCCATGAGAGTGAACTGAAGCGATGGAGACATGTTCCTTCTTTGTCTGTGACCAAATCCGAGAGGCAGATCACCGTACAAGGGAGCCCATAGCCGAGGCAACTGGAATTCCAGAAATTGATGAAGCTCTTCTATTGGAGGTTTATCTGCAAAATACACGCACGTTAATATGATCATGCTGAACCTGAAGTACAAGACCAAAGGAGTATCATCACACAGGGACGAGTCTGCTCACATCTAAGGTATAAGTTCACGGCATGACTCAGAAAAATGCTGCCAGGAACAGTACTTAGCAGGGAAGTGATGGGCACAAATGACATTGAAATTACATTAGGAGACTGTGATATGGTTGGGAGCCACTCGTTAAAAGATCGGCCACTATCAATTCCTCCCCTTCTAACTGTAATGCTTTGGATATCCTGTACAAAAGAGGAACTCATTTAAGTCAATGTCCAAATCAGTCTCATGCAGCAGGTTGATCAGAAATTGTTCAGTCGATTAAAACAGATACTAACATCGTTCTTGGAGTGGCTTTTCACAATTGGTCTACCACTGAAAGGTAAAGATTTGCGAAACCCCCATGACTTAGCATGATCATCCTGCATAAAGGAGAAAAAGAAGAAACATTTAGCAAAAATGCAAGGTGCAGCGTCCTTTTTTTTTTTTTGTTGAAATTACTATACAGTGTAATGAATCTGTACCTTGAGTTTTCCCGATATTTCGGCCGCATTGACATTGAAATTAGTTTGGTTTGAATCACCAAAAAACCTCTCATCAGCTAATTGCTTCAACAATCTCTGCACGTCAGTGGGCTCAAGATCTGACTTTTTTGACTGCTTGATATGAATCACATCCTTACCTCCCATCTTCACCCCAACAACAACATGAGTCCCATAATTAGCAATAAACCTGAAGAATCGCCAAAAAAGTTCATTGCTCGCCCAAAAAAAAAAATCTCCAGGTTCTAAGAAGATCGGACAGGAAGAGGAGCAAGAAAGTCAACGACAAAAGCAAAAGACTTACTCAGCTAGAGCAGAGGGGTTCCATGAAGAAGGCACTTCTTTTATCAAATCTTCAGAAAGGGTAATATCGGATCTGCTTAACTCAATGTTATACAATGTTATGAACCAACCATCTAAAGCCAGGCTTTTGGTGGAAGCTGCGTCCTTGGGCCATCCCTTTTTCATGTCAAACATCACATTGAATTGTCCAGACGGAACCTTCCCCGATAAGCCCAGCTCTTTATTGAATAGCTCGGACATCTGCAATATCACGAATATTCAGTTAATTTCTCAAATTTAGCGATCCCATGACATGGATGATCAACAGTATCTTATATATATTTTTTCATATTATCCCACTAAAGAAAACTATACTGCCCAGAGGGAGCTCCAGTGAAACCACAAAACCGAACATAATCATTAGCAAAAGGCGAACAAGTTAACAATCACCTGATTAAACCTAAGCACATCGGATCGAAACCTAGTGCGCTCTCCTTTGTCGCACTTAATGGAGGTTGGTACGTTAGGGACGACAACCCCACCTGGGAAAACGAGGTCCCTGGTATGATTCGTATCGAACGCTATCAAACTGGAGCCAGAAGGACCCTTCATGCAAGCGGAAAATCGAATATCTTTGCAGAGATCAAAACCGAGACCGATGACGGAGACGGCTTTTTCCGCAGCCAAGTGAGGCTCTAATCCGGCATTATTACTAGCGAAACCCATTATCAGTTCTTAGGTTAGGCGCGGCTCTATTGAGGTTTATGGGTTTGCAGCGAGAGCAATAAGAAGGAAGGGGAGGAGGGGGAGACGACCCCATTGGCGAAGTCTTCGCTGTTTGGAATTCCACGCTGGGAGGTTTCAAAGGTCTACGCGGGGAGTTTTTTTCTTTTTTAAAAAAAATTAAATTTTGCATTGTTGCTTTTTCGTTGCGTGAGTGAATCTGTGAATGAAAGTGACTGGGAATTGTTTTATAAAGTTTGGACCTTTGAAGAAGGTGAGGGATGGGACAGCTGGAGCGAACACAGAGGTACAAGAAGGCGGCTCCCTCTGAAGGGTTTCTCCACGTGGCAGGATGGCGTTGGAGGAAGACAAACACACTGGGCAGACTCGGAGAACGATTCAAAAATCATAACTTGCGTGTTGACTCCTTGAGTCTTGACTCGGAAAACGGTTGACACGAAAGAGTCCGTGGGGCGCTGAAGTGTGAGTGTAATTTCCTTCATCTCTGCTTTCGCCAACTAACTTTTTTTTTTTGGCCAGCTGTTTCATAAAATTAATCAATCCATTTGAACACGAGCTTTATTAAATAAAAGTAATTTGATTTTTGAGAAGAGTTTTTTTTTAATAACCAAAATGTTGCATTTTTCATTAGATTCTGTAGAAGAAAATTTTTAAAAGAATAAAGGTGTAAATTTAGCCCTTAATTATTTTTTCAGAAGCACTAGTCGTTGGGTAAGCCTATATTATAAAATAATGTGAAATAAATTCTTAATTTTTAAAAACAGAGCATCTAGTAGTCTTTTTAAATTTTCATTTTACGAACGTTAACTTTTCATGTGCAGCTTGTAAATTTTTTTATTGAAATGACATATGGCACTTCACCTCAACAAATAAATGTACAAATTTAGTCATGAATTATTTTTTAAGGAACACTGAGTAATTTCTAATATAAAACAATAGGCCATCTAGTATCTTTTCATCAATTTTGACCATACGCCGTTTATTTTTAGACTTATGAGACCCACCACGCATTATTCTCTCCAATCTTCTTACCCTCGTTCTCAACCTCCACTCGAGAAAAAGAGGTTTAAAGAGTTTTTATCTAAAGATATTTATAAAAAAAAAAGACAAGGTTTCATTTAACTCTCTATGGCAATTCAAGCGAAATAGCAGTTTGAATTACAATGCTATAATGCATTGGAGAAGCTTGATTCACACTTAATTGAGCAACAAATTATTTTTATAGAAATTAAAGCAAATGAATCAAGCTTCTATCACGTGTAGTAACATTACAATTCATACTACTACTTCGTTTGATTTGCCACATAGATTTAAATGAAACCTTATTTTTTTTCTTTTTTTACTTCCTTGGCATCATTCTCGTGAATGTTTTCAAATAAAAGCTCTTTAAATATCTTTCTTCTAGAGCTAAGACTGAGTCTCATAAGTTTAAAAATAAACAGCGTTTAGTCAAAATTAATGAGAAGGTGCTGAATGGTTTGTTTTTTATAGTAGAAGCTACCCAGTGTCTCTTGAAAAATAATTTATAATTAAATTTGTACCTTTATTTGTTAAGTTGAAAAGTCACATGTCATTTCAATTAAAAAATTATGGGCTCCACATGAGAAGTTAACACCTAAAAATTAATGGAGATAGTTGTATGCTCCTTTTTTGTAAAATTGAAAATTTATTTTATACTATTTTATAATATAAGTTACTTAGTGCTTCTAAAAAAATAATTAAGGGCAAAATTTGCACCTTTACTCTATTCAAAATTATATATCAAATTCGTTTAAAATGGTAGACAATGACTAACCTTAAAGGCTAAGATGATTTATTCAGAGGTGTTTGATTAAATTAGTTGATAGAGTTGAATCAGTTTACCCTAATAGTTTGATTTAATTTCAATTTTAAAATATGCAGTGCCATTAACGAAAGACCGGGATATTTTTCTTAGAACGTGACTATCGTTCAAATGGGATGGAATGAGTAGGCCTTTTTATTCAACCAAATGAGAATAGTTTTTTTTAAAAAAAAATGTTTTAAATAAAAATAGATATTGCAATTATTTAATTAGTCCAAAGCCAGGATCTAGTTAAATGAATCCTAAACAAATGTGTTAAATCATAAAAAATTAAATATACTTATTTCCTATATAAAATACTAAATAGTAACTATCACATTTATTTATAAATTTTTAATGACACAAGGTTGATCTCAAACTCAAACCCCTGACGCAATGCGGGGGGCTATATTTTAGTAACAAGTGGATCTTTTGTTGGACTTGAAAGCCCATCCAAAAGTTTAAAAGGGCAAAAATAATTAGGCAGTTGTTTTCTCTGAAGAGTTAGTTACAAGAAGTTAAACAAGAAAAACACACTTAAAAAAAACAAAACAGTTGGACAGTTAACAAGGCGAAGCGATATATAGAGTTCATGAACGGGTCTTTATTAATATCATATTCTTCTTTTTCGGCCATATTTATTAGTATTATCATAATTATTGATCAAAATTCAATGGGCTGTTATACAATAAGATAAATTATTGTTGCGTTGCATCAATGACCCATGAACTGTAGATTGTTCTTGGCAAAACATAAATTAAAATCTTTGCATTTTAGCCGAGTTTTATTATAAATTCCCACATTTCTTTTTTGATATTTCAAGTCTTTATATTTTTTTTTTGGTGTTCTAAATTCTTTCATAGACTATAATAAAATTTGATTAAAGTACAAAAATTAAAGTTATATTTTTTTCATTATTCTTTTATGACATATTAGTTTTTTAAATGGATGTTTCCCGTTGTCTAAATAATTAAAGTCCATTTTTTATATACTAAAGGAGCAAGTAATCAACTCAAGCATAATTAAATTAAAGTACAGACACTTTCATTTGCATTGCACAAAATGAGTGATAAGTACTATTACTACTGTTCATAATTTGTGAAATAAATGTACATATTCCATCGATGTCAAAATTATTGAACCCTTATATTCTCACAAACTACCACCTCCAACACATCAAAAAATCACTTCATATTATTATTTTTTTCAGATTTAACATTGAAGATTTAATGGTAAAACACCAAAAGCAGCTATTAGCCAGAAAGTAGTGAAATATATATATATATATATATATCTTAGATGCCTATAGAAATACACACATGCAATATCTCATGTTGTATGATTGGAAAATCTAGCCCTTCAGCTGTATAAAGCATATCTTGAAATTAAAATACTCTCAGTATATATATAACAGAGGATTAAAGTATAATTTTACCTCTAAATTATTTTCAGAGGAGTACTATTGCCCCTAAACTACTTATTATAACAATGTTGTCCTTATTGTTTAAATATTCATTAACTGTAGTTAGTGAAATTACTTTTGATGAGTTAAGGTACAATTTTGCCTCTAAGCTATTCCCAAAGGAGCAATGTGCTTCCTAAACTAATTAAATCCGAGCAATGTTGCCCCACCGTTTAAAAATCATAAATGTCTATTAACTAGTGCCATTCCGTTCACATTATTTCTAAGATCTAATATTCATGTAAAAGCATTTAACTATTTCATGATATTTTTTACCAGCATTCTAATGAGCTATCAACTGTACATTGAGAAGAAGTTCAATTTTTATACTAAATTTTGTTAATGACAAATATGACAATAGTTGAACTACAAGAGGAGCTCTTGATCCAATAAAGAGCATATAAACAATACTTTCGGGATAAAAAGGTTGCTTCTTATCATCTTAAGTAGATTAGCATACACAGCTGGCTATCATAAATAAATATACTCTCTCATATGTATTATAAACAAAAAAAGCCTATACATAGACTATCATAAAGTGGTTACTCAAAAAATCAATTTAGCAACTGAATAATATACTCTAGTTGAAATCCTAACCTGATTCAATGTTAACTAGAGAGAGATAATGAAAAGTAAGTTTCACTAGCTACAGTTAACAGATGTTTATAATTTTTAAACTATAAAGACAACATTGTTTCTCTGAGAATAGTTTAGGGATAAAATTATACCTTAACTTATAAAAAGTGAATTCTACCAGCTATAGTAATGAACATTTGAAAGGCGGAGGCAACATTACTTTGATTTAATTAGTTTACGGGTAATATTACTACTATAAATAGTTTAAAAGCAATATTACTCCTTCAAAAATAGTTTAGGAGTAAAATTGAACTTTAACCTTATAATAGAATATGAATGTGTGTTTAGTCTTTTTTTGTGCCTTCTAAAGGTCGCAAGAAGTTTTAGCTTATAATAAAACAGTTAATTTTTAACTATAAAATAATTAATATTTTAATTTACTTGAATTTGAATCGAAGATTTCTAAATTCAAGATGATGGTTGTTACGATGTGAATTATAAAGGGAAGATGGAGAAGAAATTATCATTAGAGGGAGGTGGGGGGGGGGGGGGGGGAGAGAGAGAGAGAGAACAAGACATTCACGAAGGTGTGGAAGCTGACTGGGTCTACTTTTGCCAAACTGTATTACATCCATCGTGCGAAAAGGTCGAAATTTATTATTATTATTTATTATTTAAACCGCGTGAAATAAAAACAAATCAAGAAAATTAGTTTCCATCCAGCCGCGTCGCAAAAGATCCTTTTATTGGCATCAGAATTATATATTTTGTTCGGACAAAGTTTTCCTTTTTTAATAATCAAAACAACACGGTTTGTCAAAGTTTAATTTTCTTGTTTGGACTTTGACTCGCCTTTATTAATGCAGTGAAATGAGGATAAATTAGCCGATGCGATAAATATTTTAATCACATTTTATAATTTTCGTGTTAAGACTTTGAAAGAATATAATCATATTTTAGTATGTATTATATTCTATCTTGGTCACTAATCTATGCTGCCACACTATGATCAATATCATCGTTAAGGGAATATCAACAAATTACATCGTTTATTAGATAGTTATGACCAATCTAATTTAGTTTTTAGACTCTAGCAATTGGCATGAATGACTTTCTTAAATTTTATGAAAGTTAAATAAATTTTCTCATATGTAAAAATATATAATCTTCCCTGTTAAAATGAAAACCTATGCATGCAGT